GCAGCCCAGATAGGCTAACATTTATGTACACGTGGCAGGGAATGGAGGGTGGAAATGTGAAACTTAACATAAATGTAAAACATGCTATAACAGTGATAGGGTGACAAATGTAAATTTTAATGGTGATTAAGACTTGCGAAAAAGACATAGGTGCGTAATAAGTACATCCAAGTGTAGTTAAGTATAGAAAAACATGTACAGCAGAGAAAAATTTAAGTTAGGAGAAAGTGCAAAAAGACACAAAAATATAGATATTCAGTGGGAGGTAGATGCAAACAATTGGGGGGGGGATCTTGTCCAAAGACTGTTTGAGAACATAAAATAGGGAATACATACTGGTTTCAGGAAAGGTGGTTCTGTAGAAGACAGAGACTTTTCTAGACGAAGAGAAGAGTTGTAGTACACACAAATGACATGTGTGTGCTAGGAAGTGACCCCCTGAACTCCCTCTGACTTACTTCCGAATACACATCTTCCGAGTTTACTTCTGATTTACTTCCGAGTATACATCTTGGGCCAAAGGTAGCTACTTTCTGCCTTTGCCCCATTTAAATCTACCTTAGTAATTCTATTTTCTTTGAACAGTAGTGTTGCTTTGAAATCTAATATGTTGCAATGAGATGTTCACAAACCTTTGCCCTGATGTGGCATAGGCTATTTTTAAATTTCTGTTTGAAGACAGAAAAAGGCACAAACCAATGAACTCATGTAATCAGGGGTTGAAATACAACATTTTAAAAAATCCATCACTTTGGGGGTGTTATTTTTTTTAGCTTTTTAATGTTTGTAACCACTGCTTTGAACAATAGAATTTTGTGGGTTTTTCTCCTGTATGAAAATTAAAAGCATCTGGTTTTTTAAAATATGACATAGTTGTTTCATTTTGTTAAAAAAGAAAACCCTGGCTTGATCTAACTAAATACCAGTACTGTATCCATAATGAGTTACTATTAATATGTGGGAAAGGCAATCATCCAAAGCCAGTGTAATGTCAAATAACTGGCAGGATCATGCATTTTATTGCCTAAAAGTGACAAATAAAAATGTCAGGATTATAAAAACAATATTCATTGGATGAGTAATGGACTGTATAGATGTTCCCTACAGCCATTGAAACTAGATGGAATCATCTTGTGGTTAACGTTAAATTCCAAGGAGCACAATCTTTTAAAAAGCGTATGTTATTTGAATGATAGTGTGTATGACTACAACACAAATATTACATGCAAAAGATTGGCTTAGGAGTTAGACATTTATGGCTCATCTGTGCTTTTATGAGTTCATGAATACTCTTGGGCAAATCACTCAGGCAGTAGGTTCAAATACTGAAAAAACAACACATACAGTGGGCCCTTGATATCCGCTGGGTTTTGGTTCCCCTTGTGGATACCAAAATTCATGAATGCTCAAGTTTCATTATATACAATGGGTTAGTAAAATGGTGTCCCTTATATAAAGTGGCAAAATCAAGATTTGCCTTTTGGATTAATTTTTTTTTCAAGCTGTTTATGGTTGAATCTGTGGATAAAGATGGATGACTATACTTAAAGGCAGTGTTACTAAACACAGACACCCCAACAACCAAACTTATGTCACAGCTCTTTATAAGCCTACTCCAATTTAAATCCCACTGTATCCAGTGGTGTCTGTTCAAACATAAGTGTCCTCAGGAGTGTAGTCTTTACCTAACCAAAGACACAGGAAAATAAGGTTCCTATTACTTTGACAATTGTTATTAATTCTTCACAGGTGCAGTTTATAATGTTGGATTTTTTTTTAAAAGGCACAGTTTTCAAATTTTTCTATCTTACTTTGGAATTATTACAATCTACTGCTTTGCTGCTTGTCACCCTGTTCAGTCAATAAAATATTATTGCAAAAGTCAGAAGACTGGTACACCTTTTTATGCGTAGCCTTCCTAGTTGTTATTGTAATAAAGTACCACACTTTATTTCCCATTATTTTCAATTAGTGGGAAAACTCACATTTAAACTTTATGGCATTGTTATGACTCTCCACTGGATGTCTCCCTTCTCCAACTTTGTGGGAAATATTTTTTCTCTCTCAGGGGTATCTTCTCTATTTGTAAGTGGGAACTGAATAAACCTGAAGTTGGAAGAAAGCAGACCAGCATGATCTTTCATACTGAGGTAAGTTTCTAAAGCAGGATGAGAGTGAAGCTCTTCTTAATTCGTGTTGCTTTCATGCTGTAGGATGATAGAACAAAGACAGATATTCCAGGCTGATTCAGAGTGATTCTCTGAACATTGCAGGACAGAAGTGCTGGTTTATCTTGTCTAACAAATAGTGGGCTGGAGGAACAGTGAGCATGTGATTTGCATGTAGAATGATATGCAGCTTCGATTTATTTATTTATTGGATTTATACCTTACCTTTTTCACAGAATGGCATCCAACTTTGAAAGAAAGGGGGAAAATGTTTTAATGCTGTATTACCAATTCTAATATCAACTAATGATGTGATGTCTTAGAATGATGATGGACAACTTAAAGCCATCCAGATGATGTTTGACTCCAGCTTCCATCCACTCTATCTAGCCTAGCCAATGATGAAGGATATACCCTCTAAAATTTGATAGGTGGAAAATAGGACATATGTTGTTGCTCTAGGGAAGTGGGGAACAAGAAATATGGAGGGGATGGCAGAAAAACATGGCAAGAAATGCAGAAGGGCAGGAAAACTAAAGAGGAGAGAAGAAATTGAGAGAGAGAAAGAGAGAGAGAGGGAGAGAGGGAGGGAGGAAGGGAGGGACAAATTGACAGGTAATAGTAAGGGGCAAAGGGATAAGAGAAGGAAAGTGGGGATTTAGGGCAGTGTAGAAGTTTGAGTGTTGCGCTATGACTCTGGAGACCAGGTTTGAGCCCCCACTCAGTCATGAAACCCACTGGGTGACCTTGGGTGAGGGCCTTTGCAGACTGCCAGAAATAGTGCAAAGTGAGTCCACTTTAAGGTTAGGGTTAGGGAATCATGGGGACTGTATTTTATTGTGGCACCAGAGCTCTCTGACAGAGAAGGCTCAATGTCTCAGAAAAAAGAAAACAATTCCCATGACTCCCTAGCACTAACCCTAACCCTTAAAGTGGACTCAATTTGCACTATTTCTGGCAGTCTGCAAAGGCCCTAAGTCACATGCTCTCAGCCTCAGGGGAAGGCAATAGCAACCCTCCTTTGAACAAATCTTGCTAGGAAAGCCCCTGGATAGTTTCACCTTATGGTCCCCATAAGTTGACAATGACTTGGAGGCATACAACAACAACAACAACAACAGAGGTGAAGAATAATGGTCAAGCAAGCTGGGAGACCTGTGGCAGGAAAGCCACCAATACTGGGGAGGGGGGGAAGATCAAAGAAAAACAAGAAAATAAAAATTCATATGTTGAGGCAGAAGCAAGAAATCCAGAGAGGCTAACAGTAATGAGGAGTATTGAAAACAAGAAGAATGGGGCAAGTGGAATAGAGTGGAACCAAAGGTGGATGAGAAGAAACAGAAAAAAAGAGAATTATTAAAGGACATAGACAAAATAGAGAAGGAGGAAAAATCAAGAAGGAAAAAGAGCAAAGGAGGAAAAGAGCAAATGAGGAATCCCAACAAGACAATAGCAATTATCAGAAATTGCCCCCCCCATTGGTAAGCTTGTCAAGTGCAGAAGCTTGCCAAAACTGGAACCCACAACCCTAGGGCTAAACACCCCAGACCAGACAGCATGGGGACAGCCCAGACACATAGAAGAATCTACCCACCTCAAAAGGCCTGAGCCTAAAGTGACCACCTAACTACCCAGAGAATGAGAGAGAGGTGGGAAACACAGTGGAAATGCAAATGATCCCATAGGGGAGAGGCCCTAAGAAGAGATAAGAAATAAAGGGGAGGGGGGAGAGGAAAGAAGGAAGAATGAGCCCCACCTACCCAGCCAGAAATGCATATGGGCAGGGCATGCTGGATCTAATGGGTTTCAAGACCAGACAGGGCAACCTGCTCACATCCACATCTGGTCAAACAGAAAGCATGTGGGCCTAATTCTATGGTCTCTTTTCATGTGAAATTTGACAGAGATCTTGTGACATTTATGAACACAGACATGACAAGATCTTCCTTTTCCAGCCCACTGCCAAATAGAGTTTAACTATGATGAGAGACCAAGTTAGGGGCTCTCCTCCAATGCAAATAGCTCCCCTCTCCATGTAGGGTGGGGATAGACATTGAAAAGGGGAGAGGGGACTGGAAGGAGTGGAAGGAAGAAGAAAATGAAAAATTGTAACATCTATTGACGAAGTGGGAAGACAGATAATTAGACATGGTTGTCTTGGCTTTACAGGGACAGTTGCAGGGTATGGAAAGATGGAGTTAGTGACATCCTGACCAGGGGTATCACCAAGTGTAGGGCATAGGGCTTATGGAGGGCAGGCGAGCCCTCCAGGGGCAGGGCCAAAAGGGCACTCCCATCACTTTGCTGCCATGACACCATTCTACTCATGTCGAATGGTGCATACAGTGAAATGGGAGCACATTGGCCCTCTCAGCAGCCTTCCAAGTCCCAAGTGGCCATTGCCATGTGGGACCTGAAAGGTAGCAGCAGCAGCCCCCCCCCACCCAGGGTGTACCAACCCACTGGGTGACAGCCTTCTGGGTAGCACCACACCCCCTAGTGACACCATTGATGGGAATTACAGTCCGGCAACATCTGGAGGGCTAGAAATTGTTTGTCCCTCCTTTAGGAATAAGAAACTCAGTACTGTGACGCATGCAAACTGGAAGTGGAAACCCTACTGAATTTTGTGAGGCATACTCCACAGAAAATGTGCATAGGATTGTAGTTTCATTGTGGCACAATGTTTGTGTGTGTATCAGGAGCTATTCTAACTCATATTGCATTTTCCTCCACGCACATACTGTTCCTGAATAAGGCTGTGTCCTGGCATTTCTGTAACTCAGTAGTTGTCTACAATTATTGTTTGAAGGACAGTATTCTTCCTTGAAAGCCAGTGTGGTTTAGGGGTTTGAGTGTTGGACTACAACTCTGAGGATCTGGGTTTGATTACTAGCCCAGCCATGGAAACCCACTGGGTGACTCTGGGCAAGTCGCACACTCTCAGCCTAAGTAAACCCCATGATAGGTTCACCTTAGGATGTTATCACACATGGGCCACTTTCGTTGTTAAAGAGATAATAAAGTGGAAATGAAGCATCCTGAAAAGAAAGCGAAAATAGAGCTTAATTACACAAAAGCTTTTCACATGTAATTACAGTAATAACGGAATTAAGTTAAAAGCGAAAAAAAGACACTTTTAACTTTCATACACAAGTGAAAAGAACCCGTACAATTACTGGAAATGGGTATGTTTCATGACCAAACTCCTCCTTTTTCCAGGGCGGGTCCTGCATTTCCCAGGAGGAAATGTCAGACTGTCCTACATTTGGGGTCATGTCCTCCTGCACAGGTCCTAACCCCCTTCCGTTGGGATTAGGACCTCTCAAGAGAGCAGAGGAGGAGGAGGAGGAGGTGGAGGCTGGAAAGGCAAGGAAAGGCAAGGCAAGCCGAGGCAAGGGAAGAGGGGAAAACTGGAGGTAGCTCCCATGCCCCCCCCCATAAGCCTTTCCCCTTTGTAGGACCTGCAGGGGAGAACTTCATGGTGAGATGGATCTCCAAGTTGCTCCACAAGCACACCCCACACTTGCACCCACATCGCACTGCGAGGGAAGCCTTCTTTCCCCTCTTTTTCCCTCCATCCCAAATGC